CTACTTGTGATCTCTGTCAAATAAATAAATAAAATATTTAAAAAATATATTACCAAAACCAATCCAATAAAGTATAAAAATAAGTATAATCCATGAGTAAGTATGACTTATTCCAGGTCTACATGGCTGGCTCAACATCTGAAAATCAGTATAATCCACCATGTCAATAGGCTAAAGAAGAAAAATAACACGTTCATATCAATTGATGAAGAAAAAGTATTTTATAAAAATCCAACAATCATTCAGAATAAAAACTCTGCCAAATAGAAATAAGCTTCCTTAGCTAGATGAAAATTCTACAAAACCCTTCAGCAAGCATCAAACTTAATGGTGAGAAACTAGATGTTTCTCTCCTAATATTGGAAATATGTCAAGGATGTCCCCTCTCACCAGTCCTATCCACATTGTACTGGAATTCTGAGCAAGTACAATAACATAAGAAGAAATACTACGTAGATAGATTGGGAAGGAAGGAATAAAACTGTCTTTGCTTGCAGATGACATGATTGTTTATGTGAAAATACCGAGGAATCAATTTAAAAAACCTTCCTGGAACTAATAAATAATTGCTTTAAGGTCACAGGATACAAGGGTAACATACAAAAGTCAGTCACTTTTCTTTATATCAGCAATACATAATTGGAACTTGAAATTAAGAATGCAAAACCACTTATATTAGCATAAAAATAAAATGCTTACGTACAAATTAACAAATGCAGTCCCAGTTAAAATACCAGCAATCTAGGGGCACCTGGGTGGCTCAATGGGTTGGGCCTCTACCTTCGGCTCAGGTCGTGATCTCAGGGTCCTGGGATCGAGCCCGCATCGGGCTCTCTGCTCAGTAGGGAGCCTGCTTCCCCCACCCCCTAGCTGCCTCTCTGCCTACTTGTGAGCTCTCTCTCACTGTGTCAAATAAATAAAATCTTTAAAAAAAAAATACCAGCAATCTATTCAGTGCATATGGCAAACTGATTTTAAAGTTTATATGGAAAGGCACCTCCCCCGACCCATGGAATAACCAGCATAATACTGCAGAAAAAAAGTTGGAGAATTGATATTTCTGATTTCAAGACTACAAAGCTATAATGATCAAGACACTATGGTATTAGTGAAAAAATAGATGCATAGATCAATAAAGCAGAATCAAGAACCCAGAAACAGACTCGCACAACTGCAGTATGATGAAGGAATAAAGGCAATTTGGTGGAGAAAGGATAGTTTTGCAAATTTGATATCCATATGCAAACAAGTGTATCTAAATCCAGACCCTACAGCTTTCATAAGTACTAACTTATAGACCTAACTATAAAACTCCTAGAAGATGACATGGAAGAAAATTTGGATGACCTTGAGTTTGGTGATGAGATTTTTAAAAGAAGTTGTTATTTTGATTCCAGTTAGTGAAACCCAGTGCTGTGCTAGTTTCAGGTGCACAATACAGTGACCCAGTACTTCCGAACGACACTGGAAGCTTGTCATCACAAGCATCCTCCTTAGTCCCCATCACCTGTTTCACGGCCCCCACCCCCGCAACAGTCAGTGCGTTCTCTATTGTTAAGAGTCTGTTTCTTGTTTTTTCCCCTTTGCTTGTTTGTTTTGCTTCTTAAATTCCACATACAAGTGAAATCCTATGGTGTTTGTCTTTCTCTGACTGACTTTGTTTAGGGTTATACTCTCTAGCTCCCCACATGTTGCCGCAAGTGGCAAGATTTCATTCTTTTTAAAGACTGAATCATATTCTATTATATCTGTCTCACATCTACTTTATCCACTCGTCCATCTTTTGATGGTCATGGTAATGAGTTTGAAGATGCAACTACACTTTGTGAAGGAAAAGTTAGTAAGGTGGACTTCATTAAAATTTAAAACTTTTGTTTTCCCAAATGCACTGTTAAGAGAATGAGGAAACACGTTATATCCTTGGAGAAAATATTTACAAAACACACATCCAGTAAAGGGCTTGTATCCAAAAATTACAAAAACTGTAAACAATAAGGAAACAGAAAACTAATTTAAAAATGGGTAAAGATCTGAACAGACACCTCACCAGAGAATAAGATACAGATGGGAAATAAGTATCTGAAAAAATGTGCAATAATATGCATCATTAGGGAATTGTAAATTAAAACAAAAATCAGATACATCAATTAGAATGACTAAAATCCAAGTAACTGACAGTACCAAAAACTGACGTGGTTGAGGTTGTGGAACCATCGGAATTCTCATTCATTATCGATGGAATGCAAAATGACACAGTTGCTTTTTGGCAGTTTCTCAGAAAGTTAGATACACTTACGCCGTATCATCCAGCAGCTGCACATCTTGCAGATGACATGATATATATATCTGGTATATACTTGCCTGAACTGAAACTTACACACAAACCTGCACACAAATGTTTATAGCAATTTTATTCATAATTGCCCCAAACCGGAAGCAATCAAGATGTCCTTTCACAGGTGAATGTGATACATCCGGACAATGGAATATTATTCAGCTCTAAAAAGAAATGAGCTATCAAGCCATAAAAAGACATGGAGGAGTTGTAAATGCATCTTACTAAGGGAAAGAAGTCGATCTGAAACAGCTACACACTGCATGGTTCTCACTCTATGACATTCCGGAAAAGGCAAACCGGTGGAGGCAGCAGAAGGATCAGTGGCTCCCAGCGGCGGCTCCGTGGTGGTGGGGAGGGAGAGACGAGCGGGTGGGGCACAGGGGAGTTTTAGGGCAGTGAAATTATTCTGCAGGGTACTGTAACAGTGTAGACCTGTCATGATGCATTTGTTAGGTCTGTAGACGTTTACTGCACAAACAACAGACCCTACGGTGCCACAAGGAGACTGTCCTTTAGGAGGCTGGGAGATTCCACGAAAGAATGCAGACTCTGACTAGAGAACCAAACTGTACACTTGGAACCACCTCGCTGAAGTAGGTGGGGGAAAGGGGCTGACTGAAGGATTTTTGGAAATGAGCAGAGTCTTTAAGACTAACGAGAAAAGGGGTTGCCCGTAAACACTGTCCTCTGCTTGATAAAACTCTCTTCAATGGGGGATGGGGTTCTGTTCTTGCTGTGCCCACAATGGGACTGAACAAACAGTAACGTGGATGAGTGGTGGAGGAGGAGAGCCAGGATCTCACTGTCAGAGTGGAGACCTGCATCCTAGCAAGTGGGGAAGCCAGAATGATCCGTGTGGTGACAGATCATGTTGGAACACCAGCAAGAAGGCAAGTCTAACTTCTGTGGATTTGTGCTTACGTGTAGAACTATTTGCAGATGTGTCCACGCACAGGCTCGTATGTATACCCCAGTAGCCAAGAACACACCCAGTGCCCAGATCTCTGCTTCTAAGATCACTCCCCAATTAGAGCAGCAGGCTCCTTGGGGAACTGCTAATTCCAGGGCCAGATGGGAAATATACAAGTGAGTCTGGAGTGTCTGGTTGTGCCAGAAAGTACGGGGTGTTCAACACCCCCCACCCTGGAAACTAGCAAATTCACCCATCCACCAACGAAACACACAGAAAACACCCCAGAGTGATGGGGTTGACGGGTTTTGTTAGGTGGCCTGAGAATGGCTACAGTCAGAACACACTGAAAAACAAAATCAATCAAGTTGACCAGGGTTTTAACCTAAACACCCATGACTCCAGAGGGATGTAAACAAATGATAATATAAACTATTAGAAGTGTGAAAGGAGACACATTTCTGGTGGAGAACCCTGTTCCTGCAGCATGGGGCTCACAGTGACTTCCCCCTAAAGAGAACAGTGCACTTGGGGTCCTTTCTAGAAACCAGTCTCATGTGTCGGGCCAGCCTCACAGCCCTTCTCTGCTCCCTACTTGGCCCCGAGCCCTGCCTGACCAACCCCCAGCTGTGCCAGCACTTCTTCCAAGGCCTCAGGCCATGTTCTTCCCTCTGCTCAGGGTACCCTCTTGTCCTCCCCTAAGGGTCTTCCCACTGCCCCTGCTGCACAGCCATGGCCTGTGGGAGGTATCGCTCTCAGGCTTTTATTTTCTTTCCCAGTCAGTGGGGCTGGCCTATGGTCAGAAGACACCCTCAGGGGATCCCAGATCCCCAGCTCAGGCTGCTTCTTCCATAGCTGGTGGGTCAGGTGGAGGAACCCAAATAGCCTTTGTAGATGCTGACACAAGCAGAGGAACCTCTCATCATTTTAAGCAAGTTTACGGCAGGTGACTAGGACGCACACAGCATTTGCAGATGGAACAGAAAGTGGGGAGGGCGTGGAGTGACCAGGTCACCTTCCACATCTTCTAAGGCTCAGCCTGGAGGCCACATCTTTATAGCTTTCCCAGCTCCAGGCCCAGAGGGACAAGAGCTTCCTTTTTGTCCTCTCCCAGGGCCTACACACTGTCTTCCAGGCCTCCAGGGGGGCGGAAACTGAGGTAGGAGGACACAGAAGGGACCTACCTCCTGTGCCCGCCAGCTCTGTACCCACTCCCAAAACACAAGGCCCCGCCTTGCTCCCATCGGGCCCCACACCCTCCTTGCTGGGAGAGAGGTGGGGGGAAGCAGATTCCAGCCCTGGAAGCAGTGGCGATCCTGTGCAGCTAGGCGCCGAACCCCCCAGGGGACTCTGCCGCCCGGTGGCAGAACCTCTGTCCCCGTTGTCCATTCGTCATTCACCCCAGCCCCTCCTGAAGAGGGTCTGCTGCAGCTTCTAAGGAGGAGTGGTGTCTGCTGCATTTGCAGGTGCCCACACCCACCTGGGTTGGGGGTGAGTCAGGGTAGGCAGAAGGGATGAGAGAGCCAACCTCTCCTTGGGTCCCAGCTGCACGATGGTCCCCCCAACACTGTCTCCCGGCAGCGGGCACCCTCGAAACATCACACATAGCCATGAAAAGCCACAGGAAGCCCTGCAGCTGCGGGTCTTGAACCCCCCAGGTTAAGCACCATATTGTCTCTGTCCAGAGAGACTGGCACAGGGGCGGGGACACACTCGGATGTCCCCGAGGGTGGGCTGGGGCGGGGCGGGTACCTGGCCGCGGCGCGTCTCACAGTTGTGCAGGTAGCTCAGGTGGTAGATCTTCAGGTTTAAGGTGCCAAAATTCAGGTACTTCAAGAAAACCTGAAACAGACATCACACCAACAGCAGTTAGAAACCCTGGTTCTTAGCAGGTGCCCAGGTGTGCAAGGCTGGAGAGGCGCCCAGCTGCCTAGAACAGGATACTGATGTCAGCACACATGGGCCCGTACACGTGAGGAGACAGACAGACGTGTAGAAGGGACACAGAGATGAGCTCAGCGAGCTAAGCTGAGGAGAGGTGTGCACACAGACACCGGGATAACACACACATGCCCACCAGGCACAGGACAGACCCGGGGACAGAGGTGACCCACGCACAGAGGTTTGCACGGTCAGAAGGCCCCCAACACTCACATCTTCGTCTTCATTTGTGAAACATGGGCCATCAAGCTTGTTCACAGCCATAATGACAGCCACAACGTCTTTGCCATTCATGATGGGCGTGGCCAGAATGTTCTTTGTCACGTAGTCGGTCAGCTCATCTGCAAAGGGGCTGAAGTGGGGACACTGGGTAGCAAGAGGAGAGGAAAGAGAGGTCGTCAGTCTGGGGAGCCCGGGCTTCCCCATCCCTGGTGGGGGCAGGGCTAAGCTCCAGGCCACCACCCAGGCCAGTGCTGAGCCCCAGGTGGCCCTGCCCCAGGCATCAGGAGCCCAGGCAGTGTAAGAGCACATGGCCCGTGGCCTGTCCTTGTGGCTCCAAGTGGGGGGTTAGAGGCCCGAGTGGCTCCCCCCATCGGAGTCACTAACCCCAGCCCTGGATCACAGACTCTGCTGAGTCCTCACAAGGCCTGGGCTGTGGCAGGCCTGGGTCCTCCCACATCGGCTCTCCTCTGGCCAAGCCAGCCTCTTGGGTACCTCTGGAATCACCCATTTGCCTATCCATAAGCCCCTCTTAGTTCAGGCTTCCCTCTCCTGCCTTCACCTGCCCTGGGGTCAGCCCCCACAGGCCAAAAGTGTGTTGGCTGAATAAAGGGTTAGTGTGAGTCAGGGTGGAGGGTCCTCTGCAGGTTTCCTGGGGCTGTGCTCCAACGAGCGTCTTCTCTGTGAGGCCCATTGCCTACGTGATAAGGCATCTGCCCACTTGTGGTTCTCAGGGCAGGTCCTGCTAGTCTCAGAGTTGCTTCCTGGGCCTCTCCTTGATGGGGGACTGGTTGAGGGGCTCTTAAGTTCTGTCTCTACAGGGAACAGGCCCAGGAGATGCAGTGTTCCCAGGACGAGGCCCCTTCCGGTGACTAGGACTCTGCTCTTCAGGGTGGATGTGACTCTAGCTCCAGCCTCCTACTTCCTGGGCGCTGCTATTTATTTACATGAGGCCAAAGTGACCCTTTGCAGATCTGTGGGGGACAGCAGAGTTGTACTACCTCAGTTGGAGGCCTGGACCTCCAGCAAGGACGGGATGGGCCTGTGCCCCTCTCCTCACTGGTCAGCTTGGGTTGAGTGAGAAAGCCCCTGTAAATCCTGCCTACATCTGTGATGATTATTTGTTGTTGAAGGAGCTCTTTTGGGTTTACTCAAGGACTGCCGGTCCTGGATGACTGACTCCATGTGACCTCCCGTGTCTTCTCTGAGGCTCGGCCTCCTTGCAGCTCAAGGACATTGCGTCCACTGTCCAGCCTCCCTTGCATGGGCAGCTGGGCCAGAGTTCAGGCCAATGGGAGGTCAGAGGAAGCCTGCTGGGGACAAGAGCAGTCAGTGCTCTCGTGAAGGGGTGCATGTGTCCGGCGCCCACTTGTCGCTGTTCCTCTCCTGCCTGATTACACCACCTGTAGCCACAGGGCACCTGGCATCAAAGGGAAATCCATATGGGATTCCCGGAGGCGGCAGCGGCACCAGGTTCTGTGACACAAAGTGAGAGCTTGCGTGGGGCCCTGTCTCGCCTCCTCACTCAATGGCTGAGCGCAGGCATGTTTCAGGGCTGTTTCCTTGTGCCACGTTCCACGTTTGTGCTCTCTGGTCATCTTCCTGGCCCCTGCCACTTTGGGGTTCTGTGTCTTGGCTGTGCAGCATCCTGGCAGGCCCTCAGCTCTGCCCCAGACTTTCCTTCCTGCCCTTCAGCTGCTCCCATCTGGGGTCCTGCACGGCGCCCCCCGCTCCCAGGTGTCCCATGCCCTACTGCACAGCCCCTCTTGCTCCACTACCCTTGGGCCTTCACCCCATGGCCCATGGCTGGAGCCTCTTGGTGTGTCTGGAGCAGCTCAGCAGCCCTCACACCCTAGATGCACAGTGAAGGGAGCATCGGGAAGGTCCAGAGCAGGTTCTGGCCAGGAGCTGTGCTTTCTGAACAGAGTCACCCAAGGGCTGGGATCCCCTGCATTCCACACCCTTGTCCCCTGTGCCTTTTCAGGCCCCTCCCTGCATTTTCTACTCTGCTGTCTCCGTATCAAGGCTCCCACCTGGCTTCTCTCCTGATTCAGACCCTGCAGTCCCAGAGCGCCACTCAGAGCCCCAACCACCTTGGGGGCAGTGGGCAACACTCCCACTCCCAGAAGCCCTGAACCACAGTGTCAGAGTAGGAACAGCCCCAGGCGCTTAAGCCTCTTTCACAAAACGTCTGTGCTCTCGTGCCCCCATTCCACGGCTTTCAACCCACCCACCACCCCATGGAAAAGGCCCTGCTGTCACCTTGGCACCTCCCTCCCCCCAGCTTCAGTAAGTCTAGGGGTCCTCTGACTGCTCTGAAGTGCCCCCAGCCCTGGCCCCACTGCCTAGACCCTCATCATTGTCACCTGCTGCGCCCACACACCTGTTGGCCCATATGTGTTCTGCAGGGTCAGCCTGGTGCTGCTGCCCTCCCCCCTCTTCTGAGCTGGCCTGAGTCCCTGAGCTGCCTCACAGAGCTGTGTCCCCAGTGACAGTCCAGCCTCCTTTGACCCCACAAGAGCTGCCTGATACAACTGGGATCTGGACGCCTTGGAGACATGCAGGGCCCTCATGATGGGCTGTTTCTGGGCCCACAGCTCTTTGGAGGGGTGTCAGACACTACCACAGAGCCAGGACCTGGGTCTGGTCCTGCTCAGCAGCTTGGGGACCATGGCTGAGCCGTGTCCCCTCCCCGGCCTATCAGGGCTTTCTGCCTAGCTGCCTTGCCATGAGCCCTCAGGGGTCTTAAGAGCTGCGAGGTGGTGGTAGGGTGATGAGGCAGCCCCCGGTGTCCTCCTCTGTGCTGCCTGCGAGGAGGCCGTGTCCCCCAGGCACATACTACTCTCCAGAAGCAGCTCCCATGCTCTTCTCATCGAGCGAGGAAGGTGCTGGAGTCTCAGACAGAGCAAGGTGCTCTGCCTCAGTTTCCCCTCTGAAGATAGCATGAGTCCAGGAGCCTGACACGTGCAATACTTAGGTCTTCGTGACCCACTTAGCGGAAACTTGCTTTTTGGTTGATTTGATTCTGTTGTCAGTTCCACTGCATCTGAGATCAACAAGACCCAGCAGAACCTTGAGGCTTGAGGTCAACACTGTGCCCCTCGTCCACTGGGGAGAGATCAGAATGGGCTGTCCTGATAGAGGTGGAAGTGTCTCGAGAGGTCAAGCCTTCAAGGATGGGAAGGGCACAGGACCTAGAACAGCCCTACCACCTGAACCTGACCTCACACAGCACAGGCTTGGGGGTTAGCCAGAGGATAGACCCCTGGGGGCTAAGGGGTCCGCCCAGACTCTGAGAAGGGAGGGGACAAGATAAAGGGAGAGAAGGGGCCGTGGAAGTCCCTCAGTGCACAACCCCCTACACCTCTCCCGGCTGCTCTTCCTGCGAGCTCGGGCTACCAATACTCAGATGCATGGGGTGACCTGTTTCTTAAAATGGAGTGAAGATGAAGCTAATCCCAGAGATTACTATATTCAGGTCGCTGGACCCAGGGTTGTTTAGAGCAGATAAATTTAAGAGGATTGCAATCACTTCCTTTCCAGGCCCCAGAGGGCCTGGGGGATGTGCACGTGTCTATTTGTCTCCAGGGACTAGGAGATGGTGACTGTTTTAGGAGAAGCCCATCCTGGGGGCAATCCCTTCTGGATTCCTTCACAGAAAGTGGAAGGGGCTGATCCAGCTCAGGGCTCCTGCCTCCCCCTTTCAGAGGTGGGGAAGGGAGAGGAGGGGAGAAGCCAGTGGCTCCTGTTCTCCCCCAGCAGCCGCTTCCCTCGCCTTCTTTTTGGAGCCCTTCATCCCCATGCTCACCTTGGGGTCCTCTGTCCCTCACACACACATCCAACAGGTACCTCCATTCCCCTAGCCCCGCCCACCCTGGTGTACACCCCAGGATTCCTGAGCTCCTAGTGAACTATCTCCACACCCTTCCTGCCTCCCCACAACCTATCAAGACCCTGGCCTCCTGAATCGCAGCTCCATGCACTGCTGTCAATCCTTCCCACCCAGCCTGGACCAGCCCTGGTCTCCCTGCTGCTTCTCCCAAACCCCCAAACTTGCCTGTACCAGGAAGCAGCATGGTCTCATATGGGGTTGTGCATTTTGGGTTCTGGAGTCCTTTGGCCCTTCCTTTCTGGGCCTTTGCTCCAGCATCTGCTCTGACCCCTTCCTCTCCAATCCTCCATCCTGGGACCTGTGGGTCAAGGGGGCAGCAGGGCCTGCCCTGATAACCCTCCCAGCCAGCTCAAGGCTGGCTCCCTTCCTTTCTGCAAGCTCTGGCCCAGCCTACCCCACTTCCCCCCGCCCCAGGCTTCCCTCCTGAAAGCAGAGGTCCTGACGTGTCCTGCCGGCTGACCCATTCCATGGGACCTGCAGGGACTCCTTGCCGACCCCACCAGTGTGGCCCAGAACCCACCTCGGTCACGTCCTTGATGTTCACCATCTTCTTGGTCTGAGCCACATGGCCCACGACTCCAATGTCCAGCGGGAAGACGATCTCAGAGTCAGGGGGCACCAGGCAGTCCTCCAGGACACTGTCCGGCTGCACACTGAAGAGGCGCGTGGCCAGCTCAGCCACGCCATTGCGCTGGCGGTACATGAAGAGGCTGCAGCGGTCGGCGTGCAGGATTGTGCAGAGACGCCGCAGGATCTTGAAGACCACACGCTCCATGTTCACGCTCTCCTGCATGTCCTGCACCAGCTCAAACAAGGCTGCGCTCTCCTCCACCTGGCACAGCTCTCGGAAGCTGGTGCAGTCTGCTGCCTGCCCATCCTCGCAGGCACCAGCCACATTCTCGGGGCTCAGCTTCTTTCCAAAGTACTCGTCTGTGAAGCTGGGGTTCTGGTCGAGGAACTGCTGCACCTGCTCCTCACTGAGGCTCATGGTGTCCCACTGCCTGTCCAGGAGACGTGGCTGGTCCCCAGGCGCATGCAGACTCCCAGCAAACACTGTCATCAGCAAAGCCTTTCTTAGTGACGATTATTGAGTCCTGGGAGGACACCAGCTGACTCACCCATGCCTGCCCCCCTTGGCTTAGATCCTGGACTTCCACCACCCGCCCCTGGGAAAATCAGACCCCCTGGAATGGGAGCAGGTGGGTCACAGCTCGGGGGCTTCTGCCTGTGATAGGGGTCTTGGGCAGCCAGTGGGGCAGGCCCTTACACCTAATCCCACGGAGAGGGTAATCCTACAAACACCGTGACACTTTCTGCCTGGGGGATTGCCTGAGAATTCTGGATGGTCCAACAGGCAGCCCCACATCTCCTGGCACTCAGACCTGGGCTCTGGTGTGCTGGGGAGGTGGGGCACCAACCCCACCTAGGAGAGAGGCAGCCCAGCCCTGGGTAGGGAGAGGGATCCCCTGTAAGGTGCCAGAGGTCAGTGAGCACAGCTCCCATGGCTCCCTTCTGATGGAGGGAAGTGGGGGGGAGGAAGGTGGCCCAGCATCCATTGCGGAGGTGGGACCACTAGATGGGGTTTTGCAGAGACTTTCCCTTCTCTTTGATGGTGAGGGGGTGGCCTCGCAGGGGAGGGGTTTGCACGTGACAGTGGGTCACCTGAGTGCACAACAGAGCTTCTTTGTTAAGAGCTAGCACCCTTAGTTAGAGTTTTTCTTAGTGAATCCCTACCACACATCTTTTTTCTTGGCCTAATCCCTACTTACTTAGCACTCTATTCACACTGCTAGACCCTCTCCTCCCACAGAGTCCACAACCACACTGTGGACACTGCCATGTTGTATGGACAGGATTGTTCCTGATCATCTGTGCTCAGAGACTGGCGTGCCTAGACAGCCACCGGTGCCTCTCTCCTTATCCACCTGCCTGGGTGTTATACATATGCTAGCTTCTCTGTGGGTGAAAATGGTGTGACAAAAGGTTGTGTGTGGCAAAAAGGTTGGATTAAAGCTGTAGGACATGCTCCATGTGTGTCTGACTCTCCAGCTGCTGGACTGTCCTTCACTTCTCTCAAGAGACTGTGTGCACATGTATGTGCATGCACGATCATGTGTATACAGGCTGCACATGCATATACACGTGTGCAAATGTGTGTGCACATGGGCTGAGCGTATAAGTGCATGTGTGTGCTTGTGCATGCAGGCTGAGTGTACAAATGCATGAGTGTGGATGCATGTGCACCCGAACGTGTATGGAGTGTGCAGGTGCATGTGTGTGCATGTGGGCAGAGTATACAGGTGCATGCATGTGCATGTGTGTGCACGTGCACATAGGCAGAGTGTACAAGTGCATGTGTGTGCACGTGGGCAGAGTGTATGAGTGCATATGTGTGCTTGTGTGTGCACATGAGTAGAGTGTACAAGTGCATGTGTGTGCATGGGCACATCCACGGACTGCTGGAAGGCTGGGGGTAGGAGCTATGTCCGTGGTGTGAGCCAGCTGTGCACATCACTCAGCAGAGCCTGGGTGGGCACCTGGCATTCTGGGCTCGCCTTTGGCAGCAGTAGCCATGGCCTTCCCCCAGAAGCAGCAGCAGAACAGTGTAGCTGGGAGGACTTCGGGCCCCTCCAAGCCAAGGATCAGGAATCACAAACCAGGGGCCTGGACGGAGAGAAATGTTGAAGGTTTCCTCATGTTGCTTTTAAACCAGGATGTAGAGTTTGTATGTGATTCTGAATTTTACTGTGCTCAGCTGGTAAGGGTGTGTGTATGTGAATGCATGAGTGTGCATATGCATGCACACGTGTGAGTGTGGGCACATGTGTGATGGTAGGGCCAGGGGTCTTCTTGTGGCCAGACACATTTTCTCAGCACCAGCCTTGGTTCCGGGGGTCTTTCCACGTGGGCTCTGGGCTGGCGCCTTGCAGCTGTGTTGGGCACAATGGGCCCAGCTGGCCGACCGCCGGGCACAGGCCCTTGTGCTGTGACATTCCTGTCTCTGCTGAGTCACGCAGCAGACTCCTTTCAGGGACCTGCTCTGAGCATCCCACTTTTCCTAAAAATAGTGAGTTCTGCCTGGGGACTGGGGGAGAAGAAGGAGGGGGTGCTGTGGGTGGGGTGCTGCGGTGCTTAGATTGGGGGCCAGGGTTGGGGGTCCCCTTGCTCTGAATTCAGTTCCCAGATGGCTCCCAGAGCCTTCCAGTGTGTTGTCTCCAGACGCTCAGAGCTGCACTCCAAGTGATGCCTGATGTGAGGGACATGCCAGTGAGGCGGCTGTCTGGCTGAGGGGCCCAGGGCAGCAGGGTCTTTGGGGGGACACTTCCTAAATCCTCGGCTCACTCCACCCAGAGGCACACACTTGGAGGCAACCACCCTCCCTGCTTCTGCTCCCCCACTCCTGCCAGCTGGCTCCTTCCATGCAGGGCTGAGGGCATGGGGCCGAGGTGTGAAGTTCCCCTGCCTATGAAGCATTGGGTGGCAGCCCTACTGGGGCAGGGGAGGCCTGCCGGTGAGGGATGCACCCATGTCTGGTATCAGAAGGGCTAGGTTGCAGCCATGGGAGTGACATGGCCGTGGGGTCAAAGGCACAACATACTCAGGATTGGTGGTGGGGGCTCCTTGCAGAGTGAGTGGGGAGTGGAGGAGGGAGCTGGCTGAGGAACTCAGGGCATTATCGAACCACAGCCCAACACCTGAGGTGATGGGTGGAGCTCACCGGAGCTCAGAGCATGGGTATTCCCCCACCCCTCGCCATTACACCGTGTGCCCACCAGACCCACTCTGTGGTACGTGGGTCACTTTACCTGTAGGTTTCCTTGCCCCTGAGCCTGCAGTGTCGGCAGGTGGGGGAGCCCAGAGGCATCAGGACTTTACGTCCCTGGAGGAGTCCTTAACCTGTGGCTCATGGGGTCATGTGTAAATATCCCAGCTACCGCCCCTGTGGGACCCCAGGAGAACTGCTGAACCACACACTGGCTGGACTGGCTCCTGCCCTCCCTCATCTCGTTTTCTGGCACACCCACTGATGGTGCACAGGGTCCTGAGCAGCCCTGAGCAGGCCTGAGGGATGGACCCTGGATGCAGTTAGGGATACACCTATGAGATAAGCCTGTGAAATGTACTTTCGAGCTACACCCATGAGGCATACTTTCGAGGTATGTCTATGATGTGTGCCTGAGGGACACCTCTGAGTGCACCTGTGAGATGCTCTCGTGATGGATGTGTGTGAGAGACACCCATGAGGAACACCTGAGTGGGACACCTGGGAGGTGGACCTGTGGATACATTGCTGATGGACACCCTTGCCAAAGGCCCATCAGATACAATAGGTAACCTCTCCACAAATGAATGTGGGAGATGTCTGAAGAGAAATGGGTTTTCTCCTTTGCTGGGTTCCTATTAATTTTGCTTCATCATAATGTGGGATTTCAAAATTAGCAAGTACACCCTGGGAGCCATTTATAAAAAGAAATATGTCTTAAATAGCTATTACATGAAGAGAACTCCAGTTTCTTATCCCAAACTGTGGAGCGGATGCAATTGCACAAGGAGTATTATGCTTGAAATTAAAATTAACTAGGCAAGAGGGATGGTAGGGGATGGCAGGGGTGAGAAAAACCAGAGCTCACACTCAGAAATCTCATTCCATTTCCAGTGCAGAGAAAGGGTATATCCATCAAGCCTCTCTACTTCCATAGGATGAGTTTTGCCAGAGGGATGACAGGAGAGGAGCTAACTGGCCATGTTGCCATTGGGAAAGGGGGGTGTTGGTGAGTGGGGAGATGCCTCAGACTCTGACACCAGGATGGGGCCTGGGGCATCGAGTGGGCTGAGGGTGGGTGTGCATCCACGACCCTGACTCTGTTCTCTGCTCCCACCAGCTGCTTGACCTCAGAGAATTATTTCAGCTTCTCCAGGCCCCCACTTGGTTTCTGGCCAACAAGATTTGCTGTGGGGTTTTTTGGGGTGGTGGTGGTGGTGAGAAGTGGTGATATAAAGTGTGTGGCATGGGCACCAGCACAACATGAGGTCTTACTGACAATAGGCCACTGAGGAACCCACCCCCGCATGATCAGGGAGAGTGGAGGGGGAGACTGGGGGTTGTGGGAGAGGACAGAGATCCAAGTGGAGAGGGTATGGAAGGAGGGCTGCAGAGCTGGGGGTAGTGGGATGAGGGGCTGAAGTAGCACCTATCTGGGCTCTGTGCTGACCTGGGTGGGTCGGTGGGGGTGGGGCAGGTACAGGAATTCTTGGGTAAAGAATAATGTTGGACCAAGAAGAGAAAGCAAGGCCTGTGCTCGGTATTTTGGGAATGGTGTCCAGGAGAAATCAGCACTTCCTCACTCATTTTGTAGTTATCTTCTGGTAGGGCAGACTCAGGTTTGATGTGCCTGAGTCCCTGTCCTGGGGTGGGAGACTGCAAACCTCAGCACCATGTGCTTCTGTTAAGGCTGTGGGAGGGCCAACACCTGGTGATCCTAGGGACTTCATCTGGAGCAGAAAGGGCTGATGTGGGGACAGGAGGCAGAACACACATCCTTCTGATGGTCTGGGCCTCCCTAGCCCCATTACAGCAGGGTCTGGGGTCTTCCAAGGGTAATTTAAGGGGTTCCTGATTGGTTGTCCCTGGCAAGCCCACTCCCAGGGGCAGCAGGTCGGGGAGGGGAAGGGCAGGAGCTGTGGCAGTGGCTGAGGTCTCTCTTAGTCTAACAAGCCAAGGGTTAGCCCCAGCTTCCTGACTTACAAGGGAGTTCATCTTAGGACAGCTGTCAGTTGACCACGGCTTCACTGTGACTCGGGCAAGACTGGCATAAAACTGCCCAGCTGAGGAGCAAATAATCCAAAAATTTGTATGGAATCAGAAGAGAACCCGAATCGCTAAGGAAATGTTGAAAAACAAAAATAAAACTGGCGGCATCACGTTACCTGATTTCAAGCTTTACTCCAAAGCTGTGATCACCAAGACAGCATGGTACTGGCATAAAAACAGACACATAGACCAGTGGAACAGAGTAGAGAGC